AAATTGGAATACACATATTGTTCCATGTATTCCCATCATTAGGATTTAAAGTAATAGCCTTATCGTAACAATCAATAGCTTCGTTAAATTTATTTAAATTGTATAATGCGAAAGCTAAATAAAGATATTTGAAATTGGAATACCCTTATTGTTCCATGCTTGATAATCATTAGGATTTAAAGAAATAGCCTTATTGTAACACTCAATAGCTTCTTCATATTTATTTAAATTGCTTAATGCGAGACCTAAATATATATATTTGAAATTGGAATACCCTTATTGTTCCAAGCTTTATCAGTATTAGAATTTAAAGAAATAGCCTTATCGTAACACTCAATAGCTTCTTCATATTTATTTAAACTATCTAATGCCAAACCTAACTATATAAACTAAAATATCACCTTTCCATAGATAAACTGCATCATCCTAATCAAATTGTTTAATTGAGCTGTTCAATATCTTTATTGCTTCATTAAATTCACCATTAGTAGCTAGTTATTATCCTATTTATTCTATATTTAATTTACCTTTTTTAAATAACTCTTTTGCCTCTTTGATTTTCTAATACTTTTTCTATTTAAATATTCTAATTTCTTTAATAGATATTTTATTAACCCAATCAATCTTTTTTTGATCATTAATTTTTTATTAAATTGATACCATATTTTTGATTGTATTAAGAATTTTATTGAATTCTATTATTTGTTTTTCTATTAAAATTAGTCAAATAAATTACAAATCTAGTTTTATTTTTCCTTTGAGTAAAATTGCTTGATTACTTTTATTTCAGACTTAAAAGTTAAAAAATCTTCGTTTAAAAGTTTCTAGTTCATGCTTTCTAATGTTTTAATTTCTTAATCCTTCTATTTTAAAATCTATTCTAAATAATTATTCATTTGAATGATTATTCCTTTGACTTAAGAATTAGATTGTTTTTAAACTTCTATGATTTAATTGATAAATTAGTTCATTGTGATAAATCTTATACAATCATTTTAATGATCTGAATGTGTCTAAGTTAAGCATTAATAACAATATTAAGTTGCTTTTTGACAATTCTGATTTAAACAAAATCCTATAATTTCTTCATTTTCATGATTAAGATATCTGCATTTAAACATTTCGATTTTTATCTAAATTAATAATTAATACAATTGATTTCATTCATTATTTATAAATTATAAAGTTCTATTTTTTCATAAAATTATATGATTTTTTCTTGAAAACATACGATTACCAAATAACACCCTTTGCGTGAATTTCAAGATTAGTTTCATTAAATTGAAGAAATTGGAATTAATAATATTAATTCTTGATTTGTTCTATTTTTTTTTAAATAAAAAATATACACACTTAAATAACAATTCAATTCCTTATCCAAAAATCAAAATATAATCTTTTACATTAAAAAAATTATAAATTACAATCTTACAATAATTAATAATTATTTAAAACTAATACCAACAAATACTTTTTTCTAAAAGTGACTAATAATAGAATGATAGTTAAAAGAAAAACTAGTCTTCAGATAAGACCAATTCAGAAATTTGGTTAGTTTAGTGTCACTTTGATTATAATTTGGGAGAGAAAAATACTTTAGGAAGAAATTACCTTTACAACATGGCTGTCTAATGTATCGATCTCATTAAATCTATCGAACAATCATTAGCTTTTGGAACTGCATACTTAGAGTGGACGTTGCGTTGCTGTCTATTCAAAGAACTTCTAAATGAACACATATTAGAAGGCAAGAAAATTTCAAAGTTTTGAGGGTGGAATACTTCTGAAAATTGGATTTATCATATTAAAATAAGCACCTGAATGATATAAAAAGAGTGATTATAATAGTACCATTTTTCTGGTTCTATTTTTGTAGGCCAAATCCTCTAATCGTTCATTCTTAAATAGTGGATTCGCATAAGTTTAATAAATTATCCATATATCTGGAGAGCAAATTTATAGAGGACACAAAATAAGATGTGAAGTAATTTTGGGTTTCTTCTTATAACTCTAAATAACTTTAAATATCATTGAAACATTTTGAATTTACTTTCTCCTCTTGTTAACCTTTATAAGTCTTATTCTTTTAGTCCAGGTTTAATATCCTTTTTATTCCCACCAACCATCATTTTCATACTCTTTTTCAATTTCCCAATAAATTATCAACTTAGTCCACCTAGGACAATTAAATATTCCTCTCGGTTTACCTTTGTTTTGCTACTCTATATGAAGGTCTTTTATTCTAAGCTAAGTTGCTTTTTAATCAAATGAAATTTTTGCAATAATAGGGCTTAGCATTCTTACTCTAATATTTTGTATTTTTTTTAAATCATCCATGAATAAGTTAGTTTATCATTCGATAGAACAAGAAAATTTCAAAAAAAATCATTACGAAGCTAAAGGAGAAGCCAGCCTCAATAGAAGCATCCAAATGCATAAAATTACAAACGATAAAAATACAAAAAAAAAAAGTAAATTTTATGGAGACTATAAAAATTTGCAATCAGGCCCATCTAGGGCTCACTAATACTCTCATGAATACCATCTGATATCCATCTCATATTCCAATAAAAGTGTGCATAAATGTCTTCTTAAATGACACAGATTTGGTTGGTTTATATGTCTATATGAATGATAATGTTATATTTTCTGAAAACGTATTAAATATACAATAATTTAAAGCAAATTGTTAATCGAAATTAAATTAGAAGAATGTAAAGTTAGAATAGGTTTAGACTCAAAAAAAGCTAAAAGATGACAAACAAACAAATTGATCAAATCCTTGTAACTTTTTGCATGTTGGTCTGTTCCATGAAGCCATGGATGAAATCTTTGCTGTTGATTCAGCTTCTGAAACTAACAGTAATATATTTCAGGTCACGAGGACCATAGAAAAAAAAGAAATTGGAGCATCTGGCGTTATGTATCGTCATTCTTTTGCTATGGAAGAAATTTGAACATCTATAGTATCGATGCTATTTTGATGGATTAAGAGATTACTAATGTAAAATAATCTGATATTAGATGAATTATTCAAAGCAATTGTAAAGATGACATTTTTGCTATTTGGACTTTAATCATCGGGTTGGTATTGATCCGTCAAGAGGCCGGGAGGAGTGATGCTGTGTTACTTTTTGGAACTGGAAACGATGATTTAAAGGTAGTAGTTCATACTTTAGAGGGAATGGATCTTAATTAATTCGAAGTTTCTTATAGAAGGCCAGTGAACGGTTAGAGATGATATTAAATTAGCAAGAGAAAAATCTTTATCAAATAATTTCAATTTATGAAAGTATGGGCTAAACGCCAAAACATTTGATTCTCAAGTAGGAGCTGATCACGAAAATCAATGTACTTATTAAGATTTCAATCAATGGATAGATTTTATCAAATAAAGTATTTGCTATTATGGCAAATAATATAAACGAAACTCTAGATCCAGCTTTTTTGAAACCTGGAAAATTTGATCGTAAGATTGAATTTCAATTGCTTGATACGAGACGATAGGGCTCGATATTTCAAACTTTATCATCAAAGAAGATTTATTTTGATGAAGGGGATTTGGATGATTTAATTGCCAGACTTGATAAACATTTTTGATAAGATTGCTGCAGGTTATCAAGAAGCAGGAATGCAAGTTATTTGAGAAAATCGATATATATATGTATGTTATTAAACAAAATATCTTGAAAGAGACCTTAAACAAAGGCTTGAAGTTTTTCTAAACCAGAAAGCAAAATCCAGTTCCCAAACAATAGTTTTACATATTTTTAGGTGAACTTTTAACATTATGAATGGCTCGAGTGTGGATCTATTTTATAATTCCAAACTGAAATGCATAAAGTCATTGGCTAAAATCTGGAAATTGTAGACTTTCAGCAACCCCTATCACTATATAAAGCTCCTTATTGACATCACTAAATAAAAATGAAGGATTCTGAGCTGAAAATATAAAAAAGAGACTTTTTCAAATTCAGGAGGTCTAGAGGTAACAATTAGGTTATTAGAACCTGGATTCTCGTACTTACTAATTGAATTTCAATTTCCATAAGTTTGGACATATTTTCAATATCGAGACAAGCTTTTCTAATTTTTCCATAGATATATCTTAACAAATTAAAAAAAAGGATTGTCACTTATTTACTTCCTAATTATAAAGCTTCCTTCTCAAAATTTCTAAACTTTAAATAAATAGGTATTTTCTAACTCTGAAAATTAAAGCTCTTTAACCTTAGGAGAATTAACTTGCGACAATTAAATCTATTGTGTTCAATATGCTATCATTGATTCATTCGAAATTGACGATTGATATATGTATTTAGGATCAAAGGTGTTTAGGTTGAAACTTTATTAATGCAGGTTTGATGCATAGTGAAGAAAAGTATAAAACTTATGAGAAAATAATAATATCTTTGCGATAGAAAGTAATTGATTCATATTTATATATTATTTTACTTATTGATTTACAAATAATTCTTTTATATGGAGCAATTTATCTCTGAATTAGAAGTAAGTGATTCTTTTTTTAAGTAAGTTGTTAATGGTAAAAGACTGATGGAAATGGTGATTAAAAAATTAGAAGTTGACCATGCAAATCTATTGCCAATAAGGAGATAAAAAGTTAGGTGAAGATATTAACTATGTTTAGCTCGAAAATCCTTAATTTAAATAATTAAAAGAATAAAATTATTTTTACTAACTCTTATTCTCCATCTTTAAAGCATAGGTTTGTATTAAATACTATTTCATAATTTGTTATCATAAATTAATCTTCCAAATCCAAATTATAAACATAAGTTTGTGTTAAATTAGGAGAATGATTTTAAGCTTTCCGGATTGGAATGACGAGTAATAGTTGCTAATATCAAAAAAGAAAGTTATGACAAATAAATTATAAGGATTTCATGTAAGGTAATCTATGTTAGAATTAAAAACATAAAATTATTCCCATCAATTATTATATATTTTTTATTTCGTTTACTTTACTCCTTCTAAAAATTTCATTAATTCTTATTTTTAAATGTACTTTAACAGCAAAGGTAAAATAAAGAGTAAGGGTTAGTAATGAGCTCTGAAAATAAGAGAATGAGAATAATTGTATTCAATAATTAAATATAGATAGATCAACTTAATTATGCTTCATTAACAATTTCGAACATAATTAAATAGGAAACTTAATTTAATAAAATCTTCACAAAGAAATTTAAAAAAATGTTGGAGATTATTCATTATAATTTAAATGATGGAAAAGAATAAAAGAGTATCGTCACAGAATGTCTATCTTCCAAATATTTGCTTTAGATCACACTGAACAATGAGTAATCAACAATAATTCTTTTGATACTCCCTTGAGATTTATAAAAGCACCTGCTAATTAAATTTAATTCGACTCTAATTAAAACTTTTTTACAATGAATATTCTAAAAAAAAGACTCGACGATTATTAGGATAATGTTCCTATTTGAATTAAAATATTATCAAATTAAATTAAACATTGTTTGTCTAAACTAAAATTAATGAACTACTGCCTGGTTATCCATATTAAATTCTTTGAAAATTAGAAGTGCCCTATTTGACTACATTAAAAAAAATATTGCCTAAAGGATTTGAGATAACGTTTACTTTTACGAAAGTTAAATAAATTATTCAAGTGTGCTTGAGCGAAGTCTAATACTTGGAATATCACATATTTTTGTAGATTTAACAATTCAATATTAAACAGTTTACGAAAAAGTAAGTATGGCAAATTAATGTAAATACAAATATTTTGGCTGGTATTTGATAATTTCTATATATAATTCATGTTTCTATAAATCATCACAAACAAATATATCAATAATATTTTGAAAAAAAATATTTATTTCAATTTAAAGTATTGAGCAGCAGAGAAATAAGTAATAAAACATACAAAAGAGGTGGTTATTATAGCTATGTTGCTTACTTCAAAAACTAATACAATTTGATTCAAATATCCTTTTTCTTTAAATATTTCCTATTATATTTATCATGTGATTAAAATAATTAGACGCCTTCATAATTTAGATCAATAGGCTTAAATTGATGTGGTGCAGCGAAAAAGTTAGCCTTGCAGTAAGGCATAAAATGATTGGCTTTCCTCTTAAAATACTTATTGGTGTTTACCTTAATTTTTGTAAGTAAGAAGCGAATTTTTAGTCTTCTAAGTTTTCCTTTTGTTTTAAAACAAAAGTGAGTGGATTAATTAAATTCTTTATACATTACTTATATTTGAGGTTCTTCTAATAATTCTACCTTGGGAATGATTATTAAAATGCTATTTAGAAATATTTGTCAATTAAAAAAAAATATCAAGGCTTAACACTGAGCAGGATTTATATAAATTGTATTAGGTTTGAAAACAAAATGTATAAATTTAATATTAGGCTTTTTATTGAATGATATTTTTTGATTTTAAAATAGCAAATATGAGTTTAATCCTACTAAACTTTGAAGAAGAGAATGGAATGATAATTTTCCTGCTTGTTTTTGTTTAACTAATTGATAATCTTAAGTTGACAATTAATAAGTAATCTTAAAAATGTTCAATATTTATTTGTATTGTGTAATATTTATGATCATATATAACTTTTATAATTATTTCTTATATATTGTTATTCTGTTGATTCTTGTTGTAAAGCAGCTAAATTTAGCTTCTAATCTCATTCCTAATTAAAATAGAATTAAGAGATTCACATTAATGCATTTAGTGAATCAGCTTAAACTAATAAACAATTTATACCTTTCAAATAGGATAGATTGAAATTAAAAGAGCTTAATTAAAACACAACACTAATTACTTAAATCTAAAAATACCATCCCTCAAAACAATTAAAAGATTTGCCATCTATAAAATATGAGCATCTAAAAATTAAAGGTTAGTCCTCGAAAATTTGTTAAAATGGATGAATCATCTTTATAATACTCATCTAGAATTCCTGAATTTCTTTCTTTTTCAGCCCTCCTCCAACATTGAAAAAGACTGATGCCATATTCCCCTTGAATCCTGGATATATGAGCGATTTTAACCACAGGGCAAAAGTTGAAAAATTTAGCATAGCCTTAGGTTGAAAATGACGGTGATTCTTCTTGAAATTAATCATAGGAGAGAACAAGAACAATAATCTCACTAAGGGTATCAGTACATAAATTACAGGATGGTTAGCAAGGTAAATGACGATAAAAGATACCTAAGCATAATGTTTCATAAAGCTTCTCCATAATTTGATTAATTTCTATTTCAAAGAGTAAAATATAATTACACAGGTTACAGTACATATTGCCCAATAACGAAATTTTCTCTAAATATCAAGCAATGGCAATATAACAATAAGAGCACTAAAAGGACATAATAAATGAAAAAATTAATGTGGGTGCTTTAATTTGATGTCTAATCCATACATTGTAAGCAACGATTCACTGCACATTATAAAATTAAGGAGCCCCTTATATTATTATGCTTTGCTACTCTACTATCTTACAACAAGGGATATGCTGAGGCATTAAAATGGTTATTATCAGATATAAAACTGCTGAAAAAGGACACTAGAATTTTTCTCTCAATTTAGTTTTATTGAACGGCAATTATTTTTACATGACAAGATTTTGGAATTTACTATATTAAAATCTCATACCCGTTTTCAAAGTCACCTTCTACTAATTCAAGTTTAATTGGCGTAACTTCATGGTTGTCAAAATAATTACTTAAATCTCACATGCTTGACATCCTTTATTTAAATTTTTTGTTCAAAAACTCGTAAATCTTGCATATCCACTTTTCACAAGATTGTTATATTAAATCTTACGATGTCTGTGAGTATGTTCTTAACCAGCAAGAATGTTCTAACAGCTTGAAGAATAAGGTGGTTTATTGTTTTCTGAACGAAAATTTTGAGAAGTAATCTAGCTAAGCAGAGATGAGCAACCAAAGACACTTCTGCTAATTATTTATTTTTTGGCCAATCTACAATTAAGCCCATGGGTATTTCCCAACTTATAGAGAAAGTATGACTATATTTGAAGTAAGTTGAAGATTAAGAATATTCTGCAATCACCAATATAAGGACAGCCAACATTTTTGGATGCTATAAGTTAAATTAATTCTAATTGGTGTAAGTTTTGCTTTAACTCATTATCTGACTCTATAACCTCATAACTGCTTTTTATTATACTAAATTGCGTTCCACAAGCATCTTTTCTAAATATTTTGAATATTAGACCTCGTAAAACTTGTAAAATCCTTTGCCATTCATGTTGGCTTTTTCTAATTTACACTGTACAATACTACTGAGCGTCAGACATCACTACTAGTGTTTAATCGTCTTTTAGCTAACATTAATGTGTAATGCTCTACCCATCTTTTAATCTAGCAAATATTTTGACAATTGCATCTAGTTATATCAACATCCTTATTCATATAAGTCTTGTTCTCAAAGTGCCAATTATATTGCAAATCAACTAGACCTATTCAATGAAAAAATTTTGTTACATGATTTTATGTCTTGTGTATCATAAAGCCGCATTTAATTCGTTTTTCTTAAATGTATCTTTCTTCTATAAGTGTATATGCTAATAAGGTATATTAG